CCCCAAAACCCCAAAACCCCAAAACCCCTTAGAACTTCACTTACGATTAATTAGTGAATAGTATTAATTTATTTTTGTATATTATATAAAGGCTACTATAGTACTTGATAATTATTAAATGGAAAAGAATAAAAATCAAGATATGTATAAAGGAAACGAAGATTAGCAACAGCAACATCTTCTAGGATAATTTGATTTCAACAAACAATAAAATATAATTGAAATGAGACTGAACCCTAAGAGCCACTCTCAATATGAACAAGCCAACATTATTAAAAATAACGAAGAAGATCTCCCACCTCCTATGGAAAACATCTAAGAAAATTTCAGAAGAGTTTCAACTAGATAGCAAAATTATAGAGAATTCAGAAATAACGTACAGAGTTCTCCTCAACAAATTGATTTGTATAGCGAAACTTAATTACGAAAAGTAACATTTTATGAAGATTTCTAATTGTAAAAAATAGGTCAGGTCAAAATCGATTAAGAATTGTATTACGTATGCTATTGCTTCTGGTATTTGCCTAAAAAATGGAATAGGTAAGAGGGATGCTACTTAGTTTAGAACTCCAGACTTTAGCTGTGACACTCCAATTTCAACTTGGTTGATAGTAATTGGCATCACTTTTGGACTAGATTCTTTCTTATACTTTGTACAAATGATGATTACGTATATTGAGGAGTAAGAGGCAAAATTTAGTATTTCATTGATCAGTCTTGGTTAATTCTGCTTGATATCAAATTTCTAGGTAGCTTGGCTCATTTATGGTAATACTTTTCACTACAATAGTGATAGTATCAGATGCAAGGATAATGATGACGATTTCAGAAGTATGTGGATACTAATGATGATTCAAATAGCCGTTGGATATATTATCTTCTTTCTTTATTCATTACTCGCATGCTGTTGTCTTTGTGCTGTCTGCATTCTTTGTAGGGGTGGAGCTGGGTAAAATTATGAATTAGTTGGTAAAATTCCATACATGAATGCAATCAAATCACTAAACAAAAAAGACTTTAAGAGTATTGAAGAAAAAAACAAAAATATGATCGATTGTTCAATATGCTTAAACAAGTTCAAGGATGATGATGAAATTACAGAGTTAAATTGTGATAAAAGACATTATTTCCACACAGAGTGCATTCAAACATGGATGCAAAGAAAACTTGAATGCCCTTTATGTAAGAAGCCAGTGCAGCCTGTTGCTAGGATTTGAAATAATAGAATCAGTTATTTTAATGA